CCGAAAAATAGGTTTGGGGATCATTTTGATGTCTACAGTAAAATAGGAGTCGTATAAGTGATCGCACAGGCCTTTATTCTGTTGTTTCGTCTCCTCTCGCAGACTGCCGTCTACGTTGCTCCGGTAACTGGTATCCCTGTGCTTCTCTTCAGCGGTTTCTTCGTGAATTTTGACACCATTCCGAAATACATGCAGTGGTTAACATACGTGTCATACGCGCGCTACAGCTGGGAAGGGACGGTGTGTGCCATATATGGAAATAAACGAGGGCCTCTAGAATGCAAGAACAAGCGGTGTATTTTTACCAACAGCGAAGATGTTTTAAGCGCTATGGATGTTGAGGAGAATGCGCTCTATTTAGAAGGCGCCAAGATATACTTCGACGGTTTTGTGCTATTTTTATTCTTCGTTGCACTCAGATTGGCGGCCTATTGGGTATTGCGGTACAAAGTCAAGTCGTACCGCTAGCAAAGACCTGTTGTCCGGCACGAGTGGAAAGCGTTCTCGGGCTATTTTCCATTTGCAAGCTTTGACTGTCTCTAAAAGCTAGCTTGCTGTGGCTTTGTGTTGATTGTGGGTTGTGTCTGTAGTGTGTTCTATTGTAGCCTGCTAGTGAGCTCTCCATTTAGGGGGAGTCGCGAAAAGTCACGCGAGAGTCACACGCGAAAGGAGACGCGGGTATGAGGAGCGCGCGCGTTCTCATGGCTCGCTTCGCTTGCCATAATTGGAGAGCTTGCTCGCAGGCTAGTTCCATGGTAGTTCTATTCACTAAAATTTTATAGATTTAAAAGATTTGCGAAATTTTGTGCGATGAAATTATTATTATTATAAGGGATTTTAAAGGGTACCGTTTTAGGCATCCGTTCACGTTTCATGAATAAAAATCGTATCGTTCTTAATTAAATTAGTAGCTTTAAGCAGTCCACTATGAGACTCACAATTTGCTAACAGCGTTTTGTAGTTTTCAAGAATACGCATGCGCATCAGCTAAATTGCTACCACATTGGTGATGAATGAAGGCTCTTCTCTCCATGCAAACAGCAAAGCATCAAAACTGTTTCGATTATCTCCCACGCATACCAGACCATAAAATAGTCGATTTGCAACCAAAAATCGCGTCCGGTGTGGTTAGATCATTTGTTACTAATCTCACTTGCAAGTGTAAAGTTTGTACTTAAGACTTCTACAAGAGCCAAATTGATATGCATAATCAATAGCACCAAAGGAAACTCTTAAGGATTTCATCCACAGACTCAAGAGTTTAGAACCTCCTTGTACAGCATCATGAAAGTACTGCTCAGTAGCTTTCATTTGAATGGCCACACTTTAGGATTTCATCCACACACTCAAAAATGAGAACAACCTTGTACAGCATATTAAACAGCACCACAGGAAAGTACGGCTCAGTAGCTTTCATTTGAATGGCCACACTTAAGGATTTCATCCACAGACTCAAAAGTTAGAACCACCTTGTACAGAATGATTAACAATACCATAGGGTAGTACTTCTCGGTGGGTTTCATTTGAATGATCACTCAGCAGATTTCATCCACAGGCTCAAAAACTTTTATTAACTTTTAAAGTATAATTAACGGTACCACAGAAGGGGACATCCTTTGTTTCCCTTTTAAGTTTCAGAATATCTTCTTGGTTAGACGTTTAATTCTATGATTGTTTCTGAGTAGATATTCAAACAAAAAACGAAGACAAGCTGCGGTGAGCCGGACTCTTGTGCTTGTTGGTTTGTTTTAGCCACATTTTGTTGTTTCAGAAACATCGAAATGGCCGGACCATTTCCAAAGGTCATCTGTAATATGCGGGACATTATCTCCAACGTTTCGATAACAACAAACGACAAGCGTGGAAAATCTTGTCTATTTTTGAGCTTTCACCGTTAACAACTTGATGTTGTATGTTGGTTTTACCCTGGGATTTCATCCAGGCTACTATAATAAAAAGTGTTGTATTGGAAAGTATTGCTCAGTAGGTTTCATTTGAATGGTCTCAGTTAAGCCGTGAGGATTTCCGTTCATCCACAGACTGCAAAGTATGAGCCACCTTGTACAGCACAGTAAACAAGACCATAACAAAGTCCTGCTTAGTAGCTTTCATTTGTAATGAATGGTCGCGTAATCGGATTCGTCTACAGACCTCAAAATAGGCCATTTCCGAGTTCCAAAAAATCTCACTTTCAAAACGAGGCTAAGTGCGAAACCTTTGTTGTGAAAATGAGTTTTATTTGCATCATAATTAAAAATCATTTTCATATCAATAGCTTCGCACTTAGCCTCACTTTCAAAGTGAGATTTTTTGGAACTCGGAAATGGCCTATTACAAACATATAATAAAAAAACAGTACCACTGGAGATTTCTCGTGAATTGTCGTGCTGAAGTATTTATTCCATTAACGGAACTCTCTCTCGATGTTTGTAAATTGTCAGTAGCATGGTTCAGTTGATTGGGAGTGTGGTCTTAAATTATCTTTAATTAAACACAACTAAATTATGAATTAAAAATCGGGCCGGGATTTGAATCCCCTGGTTTGAGTATGTTAGTGTTTTGAGTTTTCCTCCTTCCTTAATAAACAGGGAATTGTCCTACCCACAGTCTTCTGGCCTTTTGGTCAGCACGAGATTGCTGTTCACATGGAACTGACAAACCAGGTTCAATTTTTGTCAGTGGTTTTGCCATATGCTGCTCATGCGCACAGCACTACTCCTGCTAGTCCAAAACGACGTCTCCCAGCAAAGATACCTCGCATCCATGCAACCACGCCTTTTGCCGTTTAAAAATTCGACAATTATTGTATTCACACTGCGCCGGTCCTTTTTTTTAACTTAGGCCATCCTATTTCTTTTCTCCGTTTAGCGTCGTCCGACCGACCCAAGATTTTGCTATTTTCAAGGAAAAAAAATGTAACGACGTAGTTAAATCATTTTTCATTTGAAATAATGAAAAATGAACATAGTAACAGCATAGAGAAAAACAGGAACAAAAACATGAACATTTTTTACAGTATATTTAACGTCGTTCTGGTGTACCAGGGCCTCCTATTCCGACCCAATATCAGGAAACGCATTCGACGCAAACCAAAAAAAAGGGGGATGGCCTTACCGGCCAAAAATTTGACTTCAATTTCGGCGTTCCAATTTTTGAACGGTCAGACGTCTGAATTGTCCTACGGTTAAGTTGTTTCCGTGTAAACGGAGGACCTAAACGTTCGAATTTTCACCCGGTCGAAAATTAGCTTACGAGTAGGCTCTCCTCAGCACTCTGGCAGCGGGGCGCTAAAAGGGGGAGCGCCCCGCCGTCAGAACGCCGCGGAGAGCCTGCTCGCAGGCAAGTCGAAAATTGGACAGGTCCGAGTGAACGTAACCTTAAAGGGCCACAGGTTAATATTGTGTATCAGTTTCCATAACTGTCAAGTGTCACCTTCAAGTTAATTTTGGATGGAGAGAAAGCGAGCGACGACCGGACACAGTGGCGGATCTAGGTGAGGGGCCCAGGGGCCCAGCACCCTCCTCCCCCTTATTTTTAGACCAAACTGAGGCCCGAAGGGCTGAAAACAGTTTTTTGGAGACCGCCCCCGCCTTATCTAAGGGTCTGGATGACTGCCCCCCGCCTTATGTCAAGGTCCGGATCCGGCACTCATATGTGTGGGTTTGTAGGCTACCTTAACCAATGAGATCGCCCAGTTCCTCTAGGCAGTTCTTTCGGTAGGGGCGTGCCACCTCAATCCCCTCCCCGACACCCCAGAATGTAATACACTAGCATCTTGCCCTTTCATTTGTTTCGTTCAATTATTAAGTATGGGAACCCGTATTCGCGGCCGTTATAAAGTCCCAGGAAGGAGAATTTCTTTGTTCGGGGCCTCTAGCTTATTTGTTGCTGATAGTATACTTGATGGACAAAGTAAAGTAACTCTCAAACATATCAATACGTCTTGAGAAAAATTAGCACGATTAAAAATTGAAATTATATCAATATTATTAGAATAAAAAAAACTGTAGTATATTTTTATATGAAACTTTATGGTTGTTTCCTTTTCTTTATTAGTACAAAATTAAACTGAGGCGATTTTAAAGTACGATTGTTTTAGCGTGTTTTTCACCCTTGGGAAGCAGATAAAGTGTTCGCAACTGGACCTGGTCGCTTGCAAGCCGGATGGTCTTGAGCTGAGAGTTCAACCTGCGTTTTGTCCATTGCCATTCTCTAAGTAACCTGGGTGCCAGAGGCTTTTTCCGTCCATGCTCTGGGATGTCGGTGCTCGGTCGTCACACGTCGGTCTTCGGCCAAACTAACGACTTGGCATTTTTATATAAAAGTGATGTTTCGTATGCTAGTCAACATACATTTTCAAAAGTGATATAAACTGACCTTTGCAAATTATGACGAGACTATAATTCACCTTAGATAACTTTTGAAACTGATTATTCGTTCAACATAATTGTTTCTCCGTTTCTGATTAGCTAAAACCTCACGCATAATTCACCATAACCAGCCACTGTTGACCAAATTTGGAAGAATTTTGCAATAAATCAACAGACGACGTCAAAAGTGCAGCACAGTTGCAGGTTAATTCACCGTCAACCGAGAAGACCTGGAGACGAGGTTGAGTTGGTTTGGTTGTGAAAAGAAAAATGGCCGAATAGTCGGCGGAACATTTGACTCGTTTCACGACGAACTATTGTCTAAAAATTTGGCAAGAAGACAACTCGACGGACAACATATCCTATTTGGAATGTATTTGCAGACCTGAACGGCCCTTTATCTTCTAACATGCACTATCGAGGTGAACTTAACATCGACGAAGGTAAGCATGTTTTAGATTGTTTTTAAACTAGGAATTATTTTGAATGAATAATAAAGCAATTAATAAATTAGGTTATCGTAGGATATCCTACTCAGCCTCATTCATTACCTTATTATAGGAAATTAACGCTCCATGAAATTAAGGTATTGGAAATTAACGCGACTTAAATTAACGCGAATTTAATGGAAAACGACTTTCGAATATAGAAAAAGCCTTTTTAAAGAGGCCCATGTAGAATTTCTTGATCCGTTAACGCGATTAATTAGGCGAAATCAAAGGAGAAGATATTAAACGTCACTTCCTTTAGCGGCAACGATGAAGATTCGAAAATCCTTGTAAACCTTCATCGGACTTTTTTGGTGAAAGATGAAAAAAAAGGGTTAATTGAAATCCGTCTCCCCTAGTTAATTTTTTTTAGGTGTCAAGAATGTTGGACAGGTTCCAGCTCTGGGGTTAAAATACTGGAAATTAAGAGCGCCCACCACCAGCGTGCACTTAATTAACGTCGGAAAAAATGCCCCTCCAAAATTACCCCTTCGATAGCCTGTTAAATTAAGGTTTTTAACGATTCGCGTTAATTTCCCCACCTCTAATTTCTATAATAACCTAACTGCTAATTAACCCTACGATGGCCATAACCAAATCTCCCCTTTTTATAACGACTTGGCCCACGAGGGGGCTTTCGTATCCGTTTAGATTATAGGCGTAAGGAATGATTAAAAATTACTTCCTTTATCCCCTGATGAGTGGGAAATCCTCCTCAGCCAGGGAATCAGACTTTTCTTAGGTGAAAGGGGAGAAAAGTTCGATACCAAATCCCCTCTCCCTTGTAATTACCCCTTCGGATAACCTGTTGCTAAGGTTGATAGGTCTTCCCTTCCAATTACCCCTCTAATCCTCTTTCTCCCCACCGCCACCACCCCCACTACCTTTATTCCTTTATTAAGAGACACTAAGAGAGAATAAAGGACCTCTTCCAACCTCTCTTGATGGCAGTAGGTCCTCTAAGGTCAGGCTTTGTTTTTGTTCCTATGGCTCGTTCCACGCAAGGCAATCCTGGAAGGGGATGAATTCTGGATTGGATTCTACGCTGTGGGTTCAGGATTCCTTGTCAGTGGGACTTGGATTACGGATTCCTTGAGCTAAAAAGCCGCATTCCAGTTCCTGATTTACCAATCAGATTGGAGGAAAAGTTTAAAATGCACTTTCGGTAATTCGATAATTCGTTCGGGACTCAGATCAAAGATCTCGCGCAGCTTCTCAGAAATGACTGTAAAACAGAGTGAGGTCTGGGTACGAGATTAATTACGTCTACGACGCAGTGCAATTAACCCTTTAAATCCTAATATCAAAATTGAGATTCCCATTTACAGTCCCTATACTTTTTCAATATAAATGGTGGGGAGAATTTGTTGAAATATCAATTAGACTCATCTTCCCTAATTCATGTACTCAATTCTCATGACCACTCTGTTTTCGTAAGCACTGATATTATAAGGAGATAATTCATGCTGATCACTCTCAGGGCTTAAAGGGTTAACGAAATCAATAACTCCATGTGGATTAGTATCATAACGTTTTGAGTAATTGCCATTCGTATAAAATCAGTCCGCAATGTTGTTTCATAGTTAGCGAACAACAACAACACACTTTATAAAGAAACAGATATTTACAACTTGAGTAGTACCTACCCACAAATAGTTAAAACTAGTCGAAGCGGGTAGGTATGAATAAGTTAGGCTTATTAAAACAAGGGTTTTTTATTGCGCTGTACATATTTACTTACAAGGATTTCAAATTAGCAGTATTCGTAAATTAAAAATAATGATAGCAGCAATGAAAAATTTGAAAAAAAATTGCAAATAAAAATAGCAAAACAAATTTACTACACTGAGAAAAGAGAAAGGGAGAGATACAACAACAACAACAACAACAACAACAACTTTATTTATTTCACTGCACTGACCGTAGTCATAGGATTGCTACAGTTTTACAAGTTTTTAATTATTTCAAAAATTGAAGATGGTGTAAGGTGCAAATTCTCCTGTTGAAAAATATCGATTACTATTTCCAATCTACTTACATAAATTCAACATAAATTTATACCCAAAATTACAGAAACTGAAATATTTGGTCAAAGTTGACATTTTCGCAAAAACTAGTTATCGTGAACCCAAAAAAGTTTGTAAAAGTACGCTGTAGCTAGAATCTTAGCCATATAAACTGATACTGCACTAGCCTCCTTGGCATCCGTTTTTAGACTCGTCACGCAACGCTCCTCCAACAGGAGCGTTGCGTGACGAGCCTAAAAACGGCTGCCAAGGAGACTAATGCACTCGCATTAGTCCGGCTCCCTCAGAGTCTTTTTGGTCTC